AAAGTTACACCAAAGTATATGTTTACATGTTTCCCTCAATTACATTATGTTGACAAAATGAACTTTCTGACGATTTAATGTCCCATCCTCAAAATGTTGTTGGTTTTCTTGTTTCACTGATTTCCTGATAATACAAGTAGTTTTGTAAAAGTGTCAACAATTAAGTTGGTGAGTTCATAAGCTTTTGAAAGTAAGAGTTTGGAAACCGTTCGTTGTAAAGTATTGTGTGTTACCAAGAAAAATCCAATATTTTCGTTATATAAGTTATGTGGTCCTAAATCCCAGGACCAAGAATAAACAAGTATTTGCCATACTTAAATATATAAATGTGGTTTTAAATCGGCATAAAACTCTTTTAGATTTGAGGAAAATCCCATAATGAATGACGTGTAGTCTTAAATACTAAGACCGAAAGTGTACAGTAATTTCCGTACTTATTGATATAAAAAGTGATTTTCAATCGACATAAAACCCTTTTTTATTTATAAAATCCCGTATACTTTAAGTTCAGTTAACTCCCTTTATGGGTCATTATAACTATACGAAAATCAACCGGTACTTTGTAATGTACCCCTTTTTGTATAAACCCGGTACTTTGTATTTGTACCCCATTTATATGAAGACCCAGTACTTTGTGATGTACCCCTTTTGTATAAACCCGATACTTTGTATTCGTACCCTATTTATATGAAGACCCGGTACTTTGTGATGTACCTATTTTTGTATAGAATCCGGTACTTTGTATTTGTACCCCCTTTTGTATAGAACCGGTACTTTGTATTTGTACCCCATTTCATATGAAAACCTTTTGTAATGTATATGAACATAAACTATACCTATTATAGCTTATAAAAATGTGTTTAATGTATATGCGACCTAACTATTCCTAGTATAGTGTTGTAGGATTGTTTGTGGTGTATAAGAACCCTTTTATGAAAACACATTAGTGCTACGAATCCATAAACTATGCTTATTATAGCTTAATGTATGTGTTCTAAATAAATGAAGATTCTTCTCATGAATGACTAAATTTCAGTTTACGATGATAAACTAACAAGGAAACACATTCAATATTTAGAACTTATTGTTATACACTTTGCTCAACTTAATACAAAATGTTATGAAAGTTATAAGCTGTTAACTAGTTTTTATCCTTTATGTGCTGTTTTAGAAAAATTATATAAAATTCATATGAAGTTGAAAACTGATTCCGTAAATTCTGGAAGTTCACAAAATGTGTCTAGTTTATTAATAATTTTTATTATGATTTTTAGAACTCTTTAACTAGTGTTAAAATGTTCATATTCACAGACTGGTCTGAATTTGTTTCTGAAATGATAGGCAGTTTTGTAAAAATCACCATAAATCGTAGACAGATTATGTGGAGATTTGAAAGTAGTAATTTTAAAGGTATAAACCTGGGATATTTGCAACTAATATAGTTTTGAAAACAAAAATGTTTAAGTTGACCAAAACAGTCCGTGAATGGAGTTGAACTCTTCTGATGAAGGCTGTTAAATGAGTTTTGTTGTGTTCTTGGTGTTTTAACTTGTATTGCCCCCTTAAAACTTAAGAAAAACATGAAAAGATACGGGTATGAACTCACCTTATATGATTTCAGTAGATGGATGATAGAGAAAGGTAGTGTTCCACTCAAGAACACTAAGAAGATGCCTTGAAGGTTCGAAGATCAAAAGTAGAAGGAAAGCCTTGGAAATCTCGAAATTGAGAGAGAAGTTGAGAGAAAAGTGAAACTGTCACTTGGTGGAAAAATGGAGTAAGGAGAGAGGAGGGTTTTCCAACTTTTTTTCAACATTATGGCTGAAAAAGAGTGGGAAAATGACAATGATTGACTAGGTATGGGTGAATAGTGACTAAGGGTTGTACTATGAAGGTATGGGGAGGTTGCTTGTGTCATACACTAAGGAAAAGTCAACACTCCACCCATAAATCTTACTTACTAGATATTATTCTTAGGCAAAGATTTTTCCCAAAATATAATTAAAATATGAATTTTTGGGGTTTATTATGTTAAAATACGAGTTCGGGTGAAAATCCCGCGTTAAAATCTCGAAAACAGGCTCAAAATGCTAAAAATATTGAAAACCGGGCAAAAACTGCCAAATTCCGAAATTTGGGCCGAGGATGCGCATGTTCGGGTCCTTAGGAGCTTAGAACCGAAAGTAGAAGAGGGGTCCGAGAGTAGAAGAGAGACCGAGAGAAGGGAAGGAAGGAACCGAAAGTAGGAAGAGGGAACCGAAGGTGCGAGGGGAGGGAGGCAAAGGCGAGGTTCGGCTGGGAGGTTAGAACCGAACCTCGGTCCTTAGGGTTTCGATTCTCGGTTGTCTCTCGGTTCCAAGGTTTCGGTTTCGGCTGCTGAGGTTTCGGCCCTAGGGGCTTCGGCTCCTAAGAGGGTCGGCCCATAAGAGGAGTTTCGGCTCAATAAAGCTGTTTTACTTGTTTTTACCCCATTTCAAGCCGTTTTTGACCCGGTTAAGGGTCGGGATGGCCCGAAATACTATCAAAAGTTTAAGGAAATTTTAAGAGAGATTTGGGAGAGATTCCAAATAGAGAGACATAGAGTGAAAACGACTGAGAGAGTTTTCGTTTGTGATCTTTTTGAGTGTCCGACTTCACAATGCAAGGTCCGTAAACCCTCTTAAGCCATGTTTTAAGGTCCTACACACTCCTGATGAGTGTGCAATAGTGTTTTATCGCTTTGGTTCGATGTTTAGCATTTTCACGGCTATGGAAATTCAAACATACGAATTTTCCAATTGATGTTTTCTCATTAAAATAGCAAGTTGTTTTAGTAATTACCTAACGTAAGCCCTAGTACACAAGGGTTAACTGAGTTGACCGGTTTGACTTGTTGACTTTGCTTGACTTTGACTTGATTGGAATTTGACGGTTGTCACATACAGAAGCTCAAGTAGTCAATCATCTCTTCCTGATCAAGATCAAGCAGGTCCTTCATAGTTCCAAACAGTTACAAATTCATGGAAATCAAGATTTAATGCTATTTCAATGAGGTTAGGATTTCCTAAAAATGGCATGATTTTGGACAAAGTCACTAGTTCCTTCATAGTTCGAAACTAATATCTTTAACTCGGTTAACCAATCAAAGATTTCATTGGTTGTCTGCAAAAGTGAGTAGTTACATTTTCATTCATTCATGTTGTAATATTTGCTTTTGTTCTCACTTTTGTAATAACTTTTTGTAGGTTTTCATGTACCCGTATCCAGATATGTCGTGTAGGGGGAGCAAATTACCATTTGGTCCTTAATAAATAGTGGGGGTGGGAGGGGTGGAGATGGATTAAACGCATGGTTTAATATTCCACAACTTTATTTTTCTATCTGCTTGTGAAAAAAACCTTCATATAGAAACATAGATTTGGTATGTACAGCATATGTTATTAGTTATTACCGGATTGTTTGGAGGATTTGTGTTGAATTATTTGGTATACCATTATTATGGAGAGAGCTTGATATTAGGTTAATCACAAGAATGACCATAGTGCTCAATCTCATTCCTGATTGAAGAACAGTCTCATTTTAAACTGATTATGCTTATTTTGGATGATAAATGGTTATGCTTGGTAAACTTATTAAGTTATTATTGAACTTTTATGCTTATTTACTTATATTCTTAGTATTAAAGTTAGATTTATAAAATTTTGAATTTTTTTTAATAACTAATGGTCCCCGATTAATCCCTCGATTAATCCCCGTCTAACCGATTAATCCCTAGACCCCAGTCCACCGCCCAACTAACGTCTAGCGTTTTCTGCAACCTTGGTCGACACCATAAATTGGTTTAGTAAGCTTTAATCCAAGTTCTAAAATGGAGTTAGAGAATAAAAGATCCATTAGATCTTCAACAAGTGACAGAACTTGAAGTGAGAGAAAATAGATATGAGACTAATTTTAGAGAGATAAAGTAGATATGAACACAAAAATTTGAATAAACACGAAAATTTTCTTCTAAATCTCTTCCAGAACACGATTCAAGACCAAATTAGATGAAATAATGAGTAGAAGATAACAGATCCGAACAAGATTTTTGCAATAAAATGAGGTATAGACTTTTTCTTTTCAGAAAACTTACACAACTTGAAGAACAATGTGAGATTCATGATAAAATATCATCATAAACAAGATTGATTCTTGCAATAATCACTGAGATCTATAAGAACCCGCTCTGATACCACTTGTTGAGAATAAATATGAGATGACGAATAATGAATATCAAGAACAATCACCATCATATGCAAGTAATCTGATAAAGGTTTTTTTTGTATATTGATTTTGATATGAACGTACAGACCAAAAACCTAATCTGGAAAAAAGCTTGCCTCAAAATCTAACCTAATGATTATTTATAGGGAACATAAAATATCTAGGATAAATAAAAAACTAATGCCTTAATAAAAAATCAATGCCTTATAAGAGCTCGATTAAGAACTTTTACTGTAATGGCACCGTAGTGAATCATAAAACGATTAACCCTAAAAGGCCTCCCCAAATAACCAAACATGCCAAATCGGTTTCAATATCTCAAATTTTTAACACGAATCTCAAAGAGCTTTTAGAAAAAAGCATTGATTTAGGTTTCATGCTTTTATTGAATTTTTTGGTTTCATATGTGACCATTATGGTTGATGGTCCATCTATGGGCACATGCAACCAAAAAATTTTAGAAAATTTTGATGATGAAGTGTCCATTAAAGATATTGATTGGTGTGGCTTTGTAATTGATTATTTAAATCAGAGCAAAAATTAATATTGTTCACGAGAAATCAATTGAGAATGAACTTCCTATTGTTTTGGATTCCACTAAGAAAGAGAAAAAAAGTTTTATTTATTTTTTATTTTTTTGTTTGTATTTTATTTTTGTTTACTTTTATATTTTGAACCAGTTCATGTTTTTGTGGATAATATTGATAAAGGCAAGAAGTTTGTTCAAGAGAACATAATCGATGATGAAATGAGAAATGATGGTAAGTTTTATTTTTTCTAAAAGTTTTTAATATATATTTTGAATTTTTTTATTTGTTTTTGATAAATATTATAATGTGAATGATGATTGGATGGATAGCAATCCTCCTGTTCCTTGATTTGATATTATTTTTGATGGTTCGAAGTCTTTAGAGGTATATATGTTTTTGCATTATGTTTTTGAATCATATTCTATTTGATTTTTTATCATCTGTTGATTTTAATTTTATTTTTCAGGATTTTAAGGAGAAGGTTGATTTTTTGTGTAAAAGTTATAGTTATTTGAAGTCTACCATTGATCATTGGATCAATCGTGCTTGGAATCAGTTCCCAGGAAACAAAGATATTTTCGAGTATGCTGATAAAAGAAATGTTGAATTTAATGACCTTTATCAAAATATTGTGTTATCTTGTGGTCCAGAAGTAAATTAGAAGGTGAAGTTTCCAAGGATTTTTCGAATGTTGAAAAACAAAATGAAGATGTTATGCTTTGTCAAGAGTTAAGAGATGTTCAACTTGATCAACTGTCAATGGCACAATTTTTGGATCATCCTAGGCTTCATGAACAGTCGGTGGTGTTAATAAATTCAAATGAAGTTTTGGAAGATCATAGTATTGAGACAAGCAAAATATTGAGTCATCCAATTGTTTCAAATCAGTTTTATGATCCTGATGCTATTATTTCAAACACTTTAGGAAATCCTTCTCGTGTTTGCTCAAATCAAGCTTTGGTTATTGGTGAATCTTCTACAAGCATTGAAGGTGAAGGGGTAGTTGAAAATTTGTCTAAGGGGAATTTGTTGGATTATTGGTTCAGATGCAAGTTTTAGAACTCCAAATAATCCAATTCCTCTTAATAGTTCTACAGAGAAGATTAAACAACCTATCATTTTTTTTCTCTAATACCAATTCAGTCTTATAGCATCAATACCAAGCCAAGTAGACCAAAAAGAGATCTACAACCTGGTCTAGCACTTTGTTCACCTTATCATAAAAAAGAAGTTGATACAACTGAACGTGTTTCACGTTTGGAAGAAAGGGTTACGGGTTCTTTGTTTGTGGCTATGTGTAATCCCAGGTATTTCCTTATTGATGTTTTTTTATAATCTTAATTTTTTTTTATCTTAAAAGTTTACTATATTTTTTATAATCGTAATTTGTTTAGGGAAAAAGTCTATGAATCTGCCAATAGATTTGTTGGTATAAGATCTGTGATTGAGTCACTCATACCGGGTTATAGGATTCACAGAGGTGTGTTTAATTTATGATCTACTTTTCTGAATGATCTTGAAAAATATAAAGGTCATAGTAGTCCTTCAAGGTTTTTCATGCCATGCTCACTTATGGTATGATCCGTATTGTGTTTTTATATATATTTTTTATATTTTATATTTTATATATTTTTTTTCATTCTATTAAACAAATATTGCTTTCGAGAAGGTAGATAGTATTAATGAACGATTTGTAGACAGAATTCAAAGTCATTTGAAAAAGTTTCCCCGTGTTTAAAGTTTACGTGTTAACGTGGTATGTTAATTGATTATTTTTTTGTTTTTTATTTAAATTATATATATATATATATATATATATATATATATATATATATATATATATATATATATATATATATATATATATATATATTTACTATCTTATAAAACAAATCCCACTATTTCTAAAAAATAGATTGAATAAAATAATAATATTTTTTAAGACGTCCAAATCATTAAGCTAATTGTACAACTAATCACTAATAAAATAATATTAAAATTTAAACAAACTCCTATAAATCTTCTCTTCCAATGTTTTGACCAAATCTTTTTTCATCCAAATAAATACTCAACACCCTATAATTTGGTCATTTCATGAATTTTCTTTATTTTTGATATGACATGTTTCCTAAAACAAACTAATGATTGAATTGAAAATAATCATTCTCCATCGAAAAGAAATTAATTGTCGAAACAAACTATTTGTCGCTCGCTGCTTTACGCAGGTAAACGGCTAGTATATATATATATCTATCTATATATATATATATATATATATATATATATATATATATATATATATATATATATCATCATTATATATAAAAGTCCTTTCATTGTGGTGTCGCCAAAAGAGAGTTTGTAGGATTTTAATGATGGCACGTCACCCAACAATGAAACGACGCCAATAGAATTGTTGACAATGGGATTAAGGTATTCGATGCCAAATCGAAGCATGGAATCGACACAACCTCTCATACGACTTCTTGAAGACACAGAGTATATATACCCCTCTTTCTCTCCATTCAAGATCAGTTATCTTGGTTGCTTTTTCAGTTTCTATATGCCTTCTTTCTTCTTCATAAGTTCTTTTATGTTGTCGCCTATAGCATATTCATACGATTCCAAGGTCGCCACATGTGAACAATGCCCATAAAATTGCCTCGTATGAACCCGTTCACTAAAACCACATTGATCCATTAAACATTGGCCGTGAACCTCTTCACTTTCCTTCCTCCTTCTTTATTTCGTCGACTTTCCTCATACGACACATACCATCGGCTCCACGCTTCTAAAAGGCATGTATTTTGGAACACATTGTTTGGCGTACAGTGGCTCATAATCTTCCATTTTCTTTCTGTCTCTTGAGATTAAGTTTATCGATGTTGCTTCACCTATGGCTATGGAGATCTTATGATTGCAAGAAGAGATTGTGTTAATAAGAGGCTTATCATGTCAAATATTTTGGATGAAAATTAAAACCTCTCCTTGATATGATTTATTGATTGAAATTATAGTATAATTCTTTTCTATTTCTAATTTGTTCTTCTTTCTCTATTTCATTTGTAGGAATTTACCAATTTGTTTAGGAAATTGAGAAACAATAGATTTGATGAAGCCACTTTTTCTTCAAAGCCCCGTCTTTTTCAATCACTTGTTGTTCCTTTGTTTCTGGTTTGTATACAATCTGAAATGTTGAAGTTTCCCAATCCTCATCAGAAGTTCCGCCTCTTTTATGGTAGATTACAGACACAAACATGGCCTTATTTGATTTTAATTTCATGTGACAGAACAAGAAGCATCACTGGTGCCGATCAATAGCGGTTTTGAGTATATCATTGAATCAATTTACATCGATGAAGACTTTCAAATTTCAATGTCGCTCCTTCTGGTACCTATGTTTGCTCCTGGTATGTATAATTATACATTTGTTATCTACATGAACCCTAATTTTGGTTTAATTTAAATTTCAAGTTTTTTGTTATTGTTGTTTAGTATTAATCCAAGAGTTGAGTGTTGAAAACCTAATTTATCCAATGGATTTAAAATTATGAATACTAATGTAGAGAAAACTCTGATTCACATGATTATTGACTTTCTATAGTGCAGCAAGCAAAGTATCCTTGGTTCCACTGCCAAGCAAAGATTCCTACAAATAAGACATCAACATGCTATTGTAATTCTGGTAAATTTTCTTCCCTAAACATCGTTGTCAAATGTTTGGACACCAGAATTGGGACCCTGTAGGTAAAAATCCTCAGAAGCGTGGATGAGGATGGATGGTGCTTAAAGGAGATTTTAAGTGAGTCTGGTTGAGTCTGTGACTCCTACTAACCAATTAAGGTCTTAGTTCTCACAAATTGCAAGGAGATTTCTATTCTTATTTTGTTTAGGGTTTATGTTTGATGCACAGACCAAAAAATTCTTGGGTCCGCCCAGTTGAGTGTTTCAAGGTGACAATACTACAGAAGATCTACATGAAACAGTGAATCAACTTTTATCATTGGTCAATAGTACAACACTACCCCAATATATAATGCATCCAAGCATCCTATATTAGTTAAATCATCAAATTATGGGACCATATTTGTAATTTCTCTATGATAGAAGTGTCAATTTTAAACTATAATACTCTTCCAATAAGTTACTTTATTTTATAATATTCTTTTTAAATTGTTTCATTTTGTGTTGTAATTTCCAAGTTTCAGAAGATCAACATTGCGTGGCATTAGAGATGGTGGGAAGGATAACTTGTTCTCAAACTTTGAATTAGAATTTATAGCTTGCAAATAATCCAATTGTGAAAATACCAACTTTAGCAGGATATTACACAAAAGGTCTTAATAAGAATATTTTTTTGGAAGTTCACTTTTATATTCAAGTAGATAGTTTAAAATAAAATGCCTTGAGAAGAAAACATATTTAAAAGAAAACAAGGTCGGTGACGAAATAAAGGAAAGTTGGATGCTATAATAAACAAACAAGTGATAATACATTCCTATTATTGCATTAATTTATTTTTGTATTTTCGCATTTTTACAAGTTAACTTGCATAGAGGTCAGACGATTTCATGGTGAAATGGACAAGACAAGAACTTTTGTTTACGGGTAGCAAGGTTGGGACTTTTCCCTTAACGTTTATTTTCTTTTAATAACTTCCCGGGTTATCACTTTGGGTTCTTTTACATCTTTTTCTTTGTGAAGCTGATGCTCAGATATTTGTCTTCACTCTTAAACATCTCTTGGCGATTTTTAAACTCTTAAAGGCAATGCGAAGAGGTATTTCAATTTGTTTTCCTAAGTATGTTTATAATTTCCATGCGTTAACCTATCAACAATAGCCACAGTTGACTAACTATAAAATACTATTTAGGAAACTTACCTACCTATGTGTCTGCATATCAGAAGTACATGTTATTTTATAATTTATGTCCCACTTTTGAAGCTTTTCCATTTGTGGATGGCTGAATTGTCATCTAATACAATTCATAACTAATTATGCCATTTTTTTGAAGTCTTCAAAAGAATCTTAGTTACATTTCAGAATTAAATTAGAAAAAAGAATTATAAAACACAAAATAAAAGAAAAAAAATAATTTTGCAAATGTCATCAAACACGATTCACACAACCACTTTATTGTGTCGATTCACCAGTGATGTAGGTAATTGATTTCACTCCAAGAACTCCGACCAAATCTTCTGCAGAAAAAACCCTATTTTTGTCTTGGTGCTCTAGGAGGATTACATGAATCCATTTAATTGAAACGCGTTCCACTCCAAACAGAGAAATGTAACCTTTATCGGTGCTGGCGAACCTTCTCTTTTCTTTTTCTTTCTTCATTTAGTCGGCTTCTCGCCGTACGATGGCTACCTTCTCTTTAACACCTACTCATTTGTGTTCAATATGGTTTCATTTAAAGAATGGTACCATTGGCGGCCATAGAAAGCTCAGTTACCCGAACTCCTATTTCTTTAATAAAATCATGAATCATCACTTGTTATCTCACAATCTTCCCTTGTCATCTTCAACCTCCAACGTTGTTGTTTCTCATCTTTCTACATCTTTATATTATTGAATTTTTGTTTGATCTTCTTTTGGCCATGTGTTTTTGAGAAATGTAGGTTCAAGAAACAGTACATGATTGAATTTCTAAAAATTTGATAGGATTTTATAATTTTAAACAAATTTATATACCTAAATTTGGTTCTTGTATGATGTTTAGAGTTGTGATTTTTTCAGATCCATTTTTATGTTCAATTTTTTTTTTTTTTTTTTTTTTTTTTTTTTTTTTTTGAGATTTTAAGTGGTGCGCTTTTGGTTTTGCCATCCAAAATGTGGTAAAAGAAGCAAACCATAAATTATGTTTTTCCCTTTCAAAAGTAGGTATCAAGTGATTAAAGAATCAAATAAGAAATGGGTGTGGAAGATGTAAAATCAAAACAATATGGGATACAAGTGCTTGAATGAATGTTGGTTCATAAGTTTAAAAGTTGAAGTCTTATTTCTGTTTATATAGAAACTCTGTAAATTGTTCATTGTTTTTATAAATTTCAATAAATAAAAATAAAAATAGTAACTTTGTTATTTCCTTTAAATATAAGTAAAAAGTTAAATTATATAGAAAATGATTATCTTTTATGTCAAAGAATTAGAAAGGGGTTGAAAACACATAAAACCACACATAGCTACATAGATTGTGTATGTATGTGTGGTTATGTGTGCTGTTGTTTTGTGTGTTAGTCGGATATTGTGTGTGTGCATGTGACTATGTGTGTGTTAATCTTAAAACTTTCAAAAAGTTGGACAAAAGTACATTCTAAAATAGCAATGTACTTACTGATATGGATATTTTTATTGTAAGACTATCAATACGGGTGAAACAAACAAACAACCATACAACCACATACACATTGTGTATATTGATGTGTATGCGTATAAGGCAATGCGTGTTGTTGTTTAAAAGATGAAGGCTAAATTACACCATTTGCAATGGACTTAACCATTTTTACTAAATTAGACAACGCTTTAAAACGGATCTTAATTAATAGCAACATATTTAATTTTTTGTAACCATAATAGCAGCATACTTAATTAACAGACATTGTACATTTTCCTGTGGACAACAACAATTAAAAGTTAACCCTCGGTATGCTTATGCAAATATCATTTATGTAGGGTACATGGGAGCCATGGACAAACCTGATTTCTTGACCAAGCAAAAAGAATAGATTTGGAATTGCAGGAGATAGTAATAAAATTTACGCCTTTTTCCAGTAATAACAGTGTTATTTCATTTCCTTACCTATAAAACCAATGCATTTTCATTTATTTGCCAAAAATAACAACATACTCGATCATTTACTACTAATAGCAAAAGACTTTCAATTACTTACTTTTCGTGGGTCGTGCTTAGCACGGGCCTTAAATGAACCGTGTGTATATATATATATATATATATATATATATATATATATATATATATATATATATATATATATATATATGAAAACCTTAATTTTTATGGAGCACGTACAGTGCGTCAAGGTGCCTATCTAGGATTGTCACAACTGTTGGTAGACGTTGCTTCCCAACATTTCACCTCTCTGGTTGATCGCTGCCAATCTTCCCTTTCGAACACTGCTTTGCTCTTGGTTCTACCATACACATCGATCAGTACATTTTCTCCCTGATTTCGCATTTACTCTCGTTCTGTCATCCCCTAATTACGACTGGTAAGCATTCATCATCAAATGGAGTGATAAAAAGGGGCGACTTCGATGACGACGACAACTCCCTTCATCTCTTTTTCTTCTCACTTCTGGTTATATTTGTTAACTTTCTTCATAATTGTTGCTCTTAACAGTTTTCCGCACGCTAGGGTTTTTATCATCTGAGTAAAGTTATCAAAACGGTTTCAAGAGGCGTAGGTGGTGACCAACGCTGCTCTGGAAATCACATATTGTTGTGTTTAATTCTTTTCCTTCTTCGAACTATTTTTTTTTTTTTAGTTTTCAGAACTGGGGCAAGCAACTTGATGGAAGAAAAAGGTTGGTGTCATGTTTTCTGTTATTACCCGTCTCACTAATCCCTAGGTTTTTTAAGATCACATGTTCACTTTAGATTTCTCAAAATAAGGTATCGTTACTTTTTTTATAATTTCTTGTACCTTATCTCATCTTGATTTCTAATTAGGAAATTGTTGTACATATTTGTGTGTGTAGTTTAATAATGGAATGATACATTGACTTTCTATTGTTTCTCGGTTTTAATTTCTATTGTTTCTAGGTTTTAATTAAGTTCTGATCGAGGTTTTTCTATCGATATGGTTGTCGTGTTGTTGAACTGTGGTGGAGGTTGTATTAATGAATAGTTTTAAAGATGGAGACTTGATGGTGTAAACTGTAAAGTAGTGTTAGTTACGGTATTTGTTAGCTATTGGAGGTATGTGATTGTTATTTCTCTTTGTTTAGTTTTTAATTTAGTTGTTATCCTGATTATGGATGAAAATTAGAATTAAAAGAATAGTGAGATAATTTGTTACAATTTTATATGTGGTATTCATTTCAGCTCCTCATTTCTTAATCTTTACGTCTTTTTTAAAAGCAAAATTCCATATTTTTAGGAAAAAGTTTCATGGAAAAGTATATTCTCTATAGTTTGTCCATCAGAAAATAACTAGCTTAGACAAGTCTTACCTTATTTATAGATCTTCGTGACCTTAAACGATGGTGATTAGTTTCGCTTTCAATTAAAATAATACATTGTGTTCTTCCAATTTAGCACGAAGCTTTAAAAAGATCTCAAATTTCATACAATTCTGAATAAACATGTGAAAAGAAGAAGAATTATTTCATTCTTTTTATAGGCTGGAAATTGCTATGTATTTGGTGAAATAAATGTAAGTATATTGTTGTTTCCTGAATTTGCACTATTAAACTTGAAATTATAGCCCTACCAATTTTTTATTCCACTAATTTCTTTCTGTTACTTTTTTTACAAGATTATTTCATGCCAAGATATTGATGTCTTTATTTCTAGCTTTACGGGTTCTGGAATGAACTTTTTTTTACTAATATGGATATTTTTTTATGTAAAACTACTAAAACGGAGTGCAATAAACATATCCATACAACCACATCCATATTATGTGTGTTCATGTGTATGTGTATTGTTCTTTAGCAATTGAGTTTACAATGTTTACTAGAATAAAAAATGTGCTTTTAAAAAGGACCTTTGTAGACAGCAT